GGTGCCGATAATGGGCACACATATTGACGGTAGTCTGTTCAGTTGCTCATGTAGCCATGTCGATAACTCTTGTGAAACTGTTCTCTGATTAGCTGCTGCTCCTTTTCCTTTCCCTCGAGTTGGAAAGTAACGAGAGAATACTGCAAAATCTTGTCTACCTCGTCGATATCTAATCATGAGCCCACGTCCTTGCAATCGTCCTTTGGGTGCTGCCACCCGAATTACATACTGTGGCTTGTGGCGCTTTGCATGTAGACCAATGGTTACACCACAAGATCCATTGCTGCTCGCACTGTGCCCAGCATGGTAGTAAAAATGATTCGCCGTGCAACTTCTGGACACCTCGCCTCTATCTCTCATAGTCGTTCCTTGCAGCATCAGCGCGTCGAAGCCGTCGAACTGCTCGGAGATGTCCACCAATCTGCCTGGCGCTGCGGCGGTGAGAGGGTTGTAAGACATTGCTCGCACGAGTCTCCAACCGCCGCCGCTCCCTGCCTGCTCCTTGCCCTGCTGCCATCATCTGCTCCCATGAGGAGTGTGCTAGGGTTCGGATGGTGAGTGTGGGGCTTCAGTCGCGCGGCGCACCTGTGGGCCGAGGTGCGACTGAGGAGGAGGAGGAGGAGGAGGAGGAGGAGGAGGAGGAGGAGGAAGAGGAGGAGGAGAGGCTTTGGCCAGCTCGCACACGACTTTTCTTTCATGGCTGCTCTGCGCTCGTCGACCAGTGCGCATGAGCAGCCGCCCCAGCCTACAACCCCCGACGACGGCGGCCGTCGCCGTCGCCGTTGCCGCTGCCGTCATCCGTCGTCGCCGCCGCCGCTGTCGCCGCGCGTCGTCGCGACCCGCCGTCCGCCGTCGTAAATCCGCCGTCGGCTGTGGGCGGTGCCGCCGCCGTCGTCGCCGCCGTCGCCGTCGTCGCCGCCGCCACCGCCACCGCCGCCGTCGTCGTCGTCGTCGCCGCCGCCACCGCCGTCGTCGTCGTCGTCGCCGCCGCCGCCGCCGTCGCCGTCGCCGTCGTCCTTGTCGTCGTCGTCGTGGCGCTGGGCGGCGGCCGCCCTCCTGCGCTGGCCGGGCAGCCGCGACCTCCACCACGAGGTCCGCGAGGGCGTCGGCGCGGAGCGTGGCGGCCACGGCGCCCTGCTCTGGCGGGTGTGGAGGCCGGCTCGCTCGCTCGGCGGGGGGGGGGGGGGGCGAGGGCGGCGAGGGCGGGGAGGGCGAGGGCGAGCAGGGCGGCGAGGGCGAGGAGGGCGAGGGGGGGGAGGCGAGGTGGGCAAGGTGGGCGTGGAGGGCGGGGAGGCCCCAAGAGGCCCCAGTGAGACCCAAGAGGACCCTGAGAGGACCCCAAGAGGTCCCCATGGGACCCTCGAGAGGTCCCAGACAGGCTTCCCCAGAGGCCCGAGAGAACATCCAAAAAAGGCCACTGGCACATGACCGAGGCACGATGGAGAATTGGGCCGAAGGCCACGGTGTTTGCCGACCCCCTGTTTACCACAACGGTGGCAGCCTCGCTCCTCCTAGCTCCTCCCTCCTCCCTCTCCTCCCTCTCCCTCCTCCTCCTCCTCCTCCTCCCCTCCTCCTCCTCCTCCTCCTCCTCCTCCTCCTCCTCCTCTCCTCCTCCTCCTCCTCCTCCCTCCTCCCTCCTCCTCCTCCTCTCCTCCGCCTCCTCCTCTCCCTCCTCCTCCTCCTCCTCATCCTCCTCCTCCTCCTCCTCCTCCTCCTCTCCCCCTCTCTCCTCTCTCCTCCTCCTCCTCCTCCTCCCCTCCTCCTCCTCCTCCTGCTCCTCCTCCTCCTCTCTCCTCCTCTCCTCCTTCCCTCCTCCTATATCTGAAAAGCTGGTGGCCCTTGTTGTTCCAACAAAAATGTTCCCAGTGGGCCCTCGGCCGATCCCGCCGGCAGCGCGAAAAAAACCCTGCCAGTTTCGGCCTCCGCCCAGAAGGATGGCTCCAGCATGGCGTCCGAGATGGCCAAGATGGCCTCCTGGACGGCCACTGTGGCCCCAGGAGGGCCCAAGATGGCTCCCAGCGGTCTCCAAGACGAGCCGAGATGCTCTCAGGATGGCCCAGTGTGGCCCTAGGAGGCCCAAGACGGCACAAGAGTCCCCCAAGAGGAATCCAAGACGGCCTAAGTGGCCTTCAAGGGTTCTTTCTGAATCCCCGGAAAAGCCCCTAATCATTCATTCCAAACCATCCGGTGGTGTTGGGCCCTCGTTTTGAAAAGACAGCGCCCCGCGTCACACTCCTTACTGCTCGCCATCCTCCTGTCATCCCTTGCCTTTGCCCTCCACATGTCTCTGTTTCGGCACACCCCTCACACACTCTGCGGCTTCATAAGGAGTTTCACCGCAGGCCCCAGTGTGAGGATGAACATGAGTCACCCGCACCCATTTCGGCACAACCATCATACGTTTCGTTGCCCCATCGGAAGTTCCACCGAAGGCCCTAGAGGCAGGGCCCTCATACGCTTCGTGACCCCATGGGGAGATCCACCGAAGGCCCCAGTAGGAGGGTACACACGCGTCACCCGCACCCTTTCCGGCACACCCCTCAAACGCTTTGTGGTCCCATCGGGAGCTCCACCGAAGGCCCCAGTGCGAGGGTCCACAGGCGTCACCCGCATCCATCTCGGCAAACCCCTCACACGTTCCGTGGCCCCACATAGAGCTTCACCGAAGACACCACTGGCAGGGTCCGCCCGCGCCACCTGTACCCCTTTCGGCACACCCCTCACACGCCCTGCGGCCACATAGGGAGCTCCACCGAGGGCCTCAGTGGGAGGGCCACCATGAATCACCCGTAACGATTTCGGCACACCCCTCGCACGCTTCGTGGCCTCATAAGGCGGTCCAGCGAAGGCCCCAGTGACAGCGTCCACGTGCGTAACCCGCCACCGAAGGCACCAGTGGCGAGGTCCGCGCGCGCCACCCGCACCCGTGGCGGCACACCCCCTCGCACGCCCGGCGGCCCCAGAGAGAGCTCCGCCGGAAGCCCCAGTGGCAGGGGCCACGCGCACCACCCACACCGACTTCGGCACCAACAACCACCACATGCTTCCTGGCCCCATAAGAGGGGTTTTGTGTACTTCAGGAACAACCGATCGTAGGTTTGAACCTGGGTATACATCGAATTGCCAAGATAATCGTAACTGCAACTTCCCAAGACATCAGTATGTCGCAAAGATCAGGATGTGGAATTTCAAGCACAGCAAAACAATCCCAGCATACATAATATCAAGATCTGATCAAGATCAGTTCGGCATTTCCATTCATAACACAACTCTTTAGCAATAATGATATCTCACGGTAAGAGTCGGCCCCTCGCATACGGTCTATCAGGTCGTCGCATTCCTTTGGCAGTCGCCACATAGTACATTCCCATTCGGACTTGCATCACCATCAACTCTGACCTGCGTTCTGCCACCCGATGTGCACCGTATGTAGTCCACCCCGAGCTCGACGTAACTCTCGGTTGCGAGGTCCACCAGCTCACGGGCACACTGTAGAACTCAGACAGCTGCTCTCTGAATCCGCGAAGGCGGCACACTCCGTCACACAGTGACGAACAGATGGCCAGAAAGCCTCACCACAGCACGGACAGTACGGGTCACACGTGAAATCATGATTTCCTCCGCGCGTGTGGGAGCTGGCCGCTCCACGCATGTATATCATCACCTTTTGCCACTCACTCGGGGCGAGTGCGCCACGAAACTTCTTCCAAGCTTTGCCCGAGAGGGCCTCCACATCAACGTCCTCCATACCAGGGTATTCTCTTCGTGCCGCCGTCGCTTTGGTCGAAGCCTTCAGCCGACATACAGCACGTAGAACATGAAATGCTCGCTCTCCCTCGGAAGTCCAAAACCCACGACGGTTCTGGAAGATACGCATCACTCTTGGATCATCCTCATCCTCCATCATCTGAAATCTGACCCCCCTCTCGGTGTCGTACTGCACGTAGTCCAAGCCCACAGCCTCGGAGAAATTCTGCAGGTTGTGCTCGACCCAGGGGTTGAAATCGATCTCCCACTCTGTAAGACGACGGGCCGCCGTCAAAACATTTGGAAAGACTGGATGGTGTTGAATATGCAGGGCCCAAAAACGGCCTCGACACCACCAGAGACATCTCGTACGTAGTACTGAACTCATGAGCTTCGCCGCCACATCTGCAGGTGGTAGCGTGAACACAGGACAACACCATAGCCATCTCGGCACAACATATGCACCTGCAGCACGTAGTCGAGTCCTCGAACTTCCAGGGAGCTGTCGCAAGGCGGCGATAGCTGCATACACTTTCCTCCAACCTCCCGCTGGGGTGACGGGGGCCGTGGGATCATCTGGCACCGCTTCGACTCCGATATGCTCGATACGACGAAACTCACCACGATGCCATTCTTGACGCTTACCTTTGTTCTCCACGGCCCCCGTCTCGAGGTCGAAACGATCGGTCGTGTCGATGTCATTGCGTAACTGCTGGTCCGACTCACAGACCAACGAGCGATCGTCCATGAACAAGAACTGCTCGCCCTCGACCTCCCACGGGGCCAAGACAGAGCAGAGCACCTTGGGCGCGCAGGAGTCGCCCTGCGCCAATCCTCGAGATGGCCACACCTCTTCCTTGGCAAGAGCACCGGCCACCTGGCATCTCCTCGGCCCCGTCCACGCAGCAAAAGATACCGCCACCAGGTCCGATGGCACATCAGCAGCATGGAGCGACGCAATCCCCACTTCGTGGGGAACCTGGTCGTAGCACTTGCTGAGATCACGCTCCATGCCCGCCTGAGCGGTGATGCACGCCTTCAGCCAACTACACACAGCTTGACATACTGATGACTCCGTCTTACAGGCATACTGGGCTGCCTGCGGAGATGGAAAAGCTTCTTCACATGCTGTCAACCAACTTCTCAACAATACACTTGCCACCCCGATCGGTCGGGATGCTCCGCACTTCTTTGGGATACCCACAACTCTCCAGGAGAAAAGTAGCTTCTGCAAGTTCACCACATCCTCGGACCTCTCCTCCGAGGGGACAGTCTTGAACATGCCATTGGCGCCGAGGAACTTCGTCGTGTCAAGCCAGAGATTGTACAAATCCTGCACTAGGAACTCGAACGTCACGGCCATCATCTTCAACTCTCGTGCTGTCCAGCCGTCATAGCCAGCGCTTCCTTTCCCGCGAGCGATGGCTCGCAGGAACTGCTCCCAACTCGGACTCCAGCCCGCCTGGGCCTTGCTCCGAGGGAGGGGGCGACGCATTCGCCGAGCATGCTCCACCCACGATGTCGAGCATGCCTCGCCATTGAAGCCCTCGGGGCGCCAGATCTTGCGCCACTCCTCGGACATGTCATCGGCAGTGAAGGCGGGGCACTCCGTCGGGTCATGCATGACCGAACTCGCTGCTCTCCACCACTCAGGGTCAATAACTTCTTTGGCAAAAATCTGCTTCCATGATGAACTGTCCTCCGCCCTCAGGCGGCGCTCCATCTTAGCAATCGCATATAATCGCATCACATACTCGATCATGTGCACGGCCCGGGCTCGGTAGACCTGCACATCCATTGTCAGTAACATGCCGCAGACAAAACTCGATGAACACGTCGAGCTGGTGGCCATCCAACTTCACGTTCGGTGGGCTCCTCCTCAACTGCTCAGCTATGCTTCGGCCCAATCTCTTCAGCCTAGACAAGATGATGGGCTCGTTCGGCCTGCGCTTCGGCGTCGATGCAACAGGCCTTTCTTCTGGAATCGATCCTTTGGGTCTCTCGGCGCTCCCACTACGTATGAGTATGCCCGACTCGACCCCCAGCTCCATTACACGGTTGGCCCGTGCATGCCAGCGTGTCCATATTTGCGTCATCGTGTGCGTCCTCCCCAACATAGGTAAGGCATGGTCCACATCTGCCCGCAATACTTCAACATCCTGAGGTAAGACCAGTGTATTCTGATCCAGCTCGAAAACCGATGTCCGCTTCAATCTCGTCGTAGGCCCCGCCATCGCACTCCAGGATGTCGCACACAACACCAGGCCATGGCACGGGATACCTTGCACAAAGACCGTAGATGTATGCTGAGCAGCAACACCCGAGGCACAAATTCTGGTCGGAAAAGTTCGCGCCAACGTTGTCGGTGCTGTCATCTGGCATACGGTCGCATGGATTGGTACACACTGCTGATAAGACTGCCTCCAATTCAAATCCCCAAGGATAATCCAGGGCTTTCCTGCAGCGATAACTTTAGTCCAATCAAAAACTTCATCCATCCATTCAGTGCTTGGGACCGACGCGGGCCCCATATGCAGATACAATCGTACCAAAAGCTCCACGTACGCCCATGTACCTGTGACTCTCAGATCGGAAAACTTTAACTCCACCAGCGCGGGGCCGCCAAAACAAAGCGGTCCCCCCTTGCATAGTAACTGACTTCGCATTCTCCCCAGGCGGTGCACTGACAGCACACCTCCAACCCAGTCTCTGAGCCGTGGCTGACGCCCACCGTGGTTTCTCCGTATGTAGGCGTACCTCCTGCAAAGCCAAGAAGTCCACCTCCTTCAGGTCGTCGTGCGCGAGCAGCTCCTCCAACCTGGCGGCGTTCAGAGCTGTGACGTTGATCGTGGCCAAGCGCATCTGGCCGCTCACTGCCGGCGCCTCCCCACCCCGCGGAGCGGGTCGCGGGGGTCGAGGCACCCTCAGCACGATGGTCTCGACGCAGACGCTGACGCCGGGGCCGACGTCGTCCGCGCAGCAACCTTCTTCTTCCAGGCCTCCTTCCCGCGCTTGCGCTTCTGGATCAGGTAGCGCTCGCGCTCCGGGCCACTCCTCAACCTCCTCTTGTCCAGCTTCTGGTTATGGATCCGCTTCCTCTCTTTGTGCTCGGGCCTCTTGGAGCACTCGGCCCAGTACTTCTTCCTCTTCTCACGCTTGTCGGGTCCGAAGTTGGCCCTCTTCTTCTGGATGCGCTTCTGCTCCTCCTCAAAGTAATGCCGCATACGTGATACTCCGACCGTACTTGTCAAGAACTGCTTCCGCGTAACCTTATTATGTCTCCCACTGCATATGTTCCAAGGCGCCTGTCCCAGCGCCCTCTGGATGCCACACCGCGTGCACTTGTAGGCTGTAGTTCTTCGTGGAGTTTGGGATCGTCAACACCGTACGAGGATCATACTCACACACAGCCTCTTGAATACTGATAGGTAGTTTTGCCTTCCACAACAGATGCTTGGCAAACCCACGCTGGCGCACGTTCTCGCGGATCTTGGCAGAGTTCGCGAGAAACTGGGAGATATGCGAGTGCACGATCTTCCCGATCTTGGGCGCAGGCTTGCCCTGGCACTTCCTCCAGTGTCTGTCCGCCTGCACACTGAGCAAGGAGTTGTACCTGCGTTTGCCCATCATCACTCTGTCGGACGTGTCAGGCGTCCAACCACACTGATCACACTTATAATATTCACCAGTTTGCCAAGACCAAAACTGTTTGAATGCATCATCATCGTCTCCTGCAGCCTCCTCCGCCAGGGCTTCAGCCCCACCAGACTCCAAACCCAAGAAACTACGCATCTCGTCCGCACGCTCATCCAGGCCCAGGATACTCGCAATGGCACCTGAGTGTGCTGTCGGTGTACTATGCAAACCAAGGAGAGATAACATATCAGCATCATCACCATCCTCCTCACCACTGCCCTGCAAACCATGCTGAGGACACGGGAAAGCTTGATCACGCCACAGCCGTAACGTGTTCTGGTACTCAGGCAGGTCTTGGATGTCCGCTCGAGGCTCCAGCCGCTGGTAGTGCTGGTCCTCAAGGGTCAACCAGATCTCCTTCTTCTTCGTCTTGGAGTTCGGCTCTCGTCCGTACAATATCCATTTGCCATTCGCATCTTTTGCCCAAATATAGATATCCGTCTTCGCCTCATGCGCCAGTAGCCTCGCCGCCAGGGCTCCCGCAGGGTTCACCGTCGTGCCATGGTACTCCGCCTGCAACTTCGTCGTGCCGTACACCCTCTTCAAGCCCGCTCTCTGCACCAGCATGCGGAGGTGGCCCTGGATCGGACCCTTCGGCTCGAAGGCGTTGATGGGCGGCACCCGCCCACTCGGGGAAACATGATGCAGGCCGCGGCCTGCAGCGATATAGAAACAATCACCATCACCTGCACATTGAACAACTTTGAACCACTTAGTATATGGTGTCACATGTTTGCCAACAGCTTTACCATCTTCACCTCTCTGCAACTTTGACTTTGATTCGACCTTGGCCTCCTCTTTCGCCTCAGTCTTGACGTCGTCTTTCGTCGGCGTGACCGTTGGTGCTCCAGCAGTCGGCGTAGTTGCTGCTGGTGCCGTTGACGGAGCCGTCGAAGCTGCCTGGCCCCCAGCATCATCGTCGATGTTCTGGACCCTCGGCTTGGCCGCACCCCACGCACTCCTGGTCGTCGATGCGGGGCCCTCCTTCGGCTTCTGACGTGCTGGCGCTTGAGGTCTCACAGCCTTGGTCACCAGCACACCACTCTTAAATGAGAAATTCGTCGCCGCCACACCCTGCGGCGGCTCAGCATAGAGTTAAGTGAGATACGCGTGCACTCAACGGAGGGAGAGGAGGAGAGGAGGGGACGAGAGGGGGACCAGGACAGGGCGATGGTATTTTCATGGCAGCGTGGCGACGCGCATCTCCGCCTGGGCGTGGGCCCTGATGGCCCCACGCTCAACGCGAGCGCGTGGGCCCTGACGGCCCGCGCGCTCGCGCTCTGGCACGCCTGCGGCCGCTCGGCCGACGCAGGCGTCTGGGAGCAAAGCGGGGTGGGTGGGCACCCGCGCGTCGGCCAGAGCCGAACGCTACGGACCCAAAATGGCTACCTGAGCCCACACCCCCTCCCACTTAACCTGCAGTCTACAACCAATCAGACTATACAAGTTAAGTGAGATACGCGTGCACTCAACGGAGGGAGAGGAGGAGAGGAGGGGACGAGAGGGGGACCAGGACAGGGCGATGGTATTTTCATGGCAGCGTGGCGACGCGCATCTCCGCCTGGGCGTGGGCCCTGATGGCCCCACGCTCAACGCGAGCGCGTGGGCCCTGACGGCCCGCGCGCTCGCGCTCTGGCACGCCTGCGGCCGCTCGGCCATGAGAAAAGAAAGACGCAGCCGCGCGCGCGGGGACGCCCCGCCCGAGTGCGAGGGCGGAACCGGAGGCTGCAAGAGCCTCGCGCGCGCGGCCACTTGCCTGCAACCTTGAGGCCTTCCGCGCCCCGCGCACCCAGAGCGCGGGCGCGGCGCGTGCGCGATGCGCGCAAAGAACCGAAGGGGACGGCGCACGATGCGCCGGGCGCAGAGCGCAAGTGTGGCCCCGACCGCACGGCGCGCAAGACGCGCGGCACGGCCGGGTCCAGGAAGCACGCGACGTGCGTGCAAAGTTAAACTCCTCCAAAGAGAGAGGAACGCAGGCGCCACCTGCGTACCGTAGGCTAAAAGAAAGAAGATCGCAGGCGTCACCTGCGTACCGTAGGCTAAAAGAAAGAAGGTCGCAGGCGCCACCTGCGTACCGTAGGCTCAAAGGATCGCAGGCGCCACCTGCGCACGGTAGGCTGAGAGGAGGGCCGGCTCACTCACAGGCCGCCGCCTTCAGCCCGCGCCCGCGATGCCGCGGGCGCTGGCGTCGGGGTACGGGGGGGGCTCCACGCCTAGATGGAGGGCGTGTTCCCCTGGCGGTCGCGGCTCTCGTCTCCGCTGCGGTCTCCGCCGCGCTCACTGGGGTCCCGGGGGCTGCCGCCATCGCCGCCCCTCGACGCGCGACCGTCCGCGCTGGGCCAGTCACGCTCACTCCGGCCGCGGCTGCCCTGGTCGCCCTTGGAGTGGCCGCCCTTGCCGCTCTTGTCGCCCTTGCCGCCGCTCTTGGAGCCCTTGGCGGCCTTGCCGGAGTGCTTGCCCTTGACCTTGCCGCCCTTGCCGCCCTTGTCGCCCGCGCCCTTGCCACGCCAGGCTGGGATCCCACCCCCGCCCGCGGCAGCCTCCGCGGCGGCAGCACGCCGCCGCTTTTTCTCCTGCTCGTACCAGCCGCCGCGAGGAGCGCGAAGCTGCCCAGCGTGCTTCCCGGTCTTACGCCGCGTGCGGCCGGGAGGGGTGTCGCCGCGCCGCGCCCACGCTGGGTCCCGCGCCAGACTGCGGCTGGGCGACCTCTCGCGCTTGGGCCGGTTGCGGCTGGGCGACCTCTCACGCTTGGGCCAGCTGAGGTCGCCCGGCGGGCGGTCCCCCTCAGCCCCCGCACCCGTGGCACCCGTGCTGGGGCGCTCTCCATGGCCGGCACTGGGGCCCGGCGCCTCCCGCACGGTGTGGCCGCTCCGCCGGGCCTTCTCCACCACCGTCTTGGGTTTGCCGAAGGCGACGCGGCAAGCCTCGCAGTAGCTCACGTCGCACCCCTTACAGTGCCACCGCAGGGCTCCGCTGTTAGCTCCGCCCGCGGGGCACATCTCGCAACCCCAACCGTCTCCCGGGTCAAAGGAGCTCCAGCGCATCTTGAGTGCGCACGTCGGGCAGGCAGGCGGCTGGATGGTCGGGCCATCCTCCCCGTCGCTGCCTGGGTCAGGGCCGCGAGGTCGGCTCGCCCACTCCGTGACCACCGTGCACGGGTCCGTCTTGTAGAACCGATAGTTCGACCTCATGCACTCCCGCGCGCGCTTTGCATCAGCGCGGCGCTGGAACTCCACCAGCACGCACGGCTCCCGCTTGTGGCGGTGGTCGTACAGGAAGGCGATGTGTTTGACGACCCCAAAGGGCACGACCACCTGCCTGACCACCTCGGCATCGACGTGGTGCGGTACCCGCTCGATGCGGATGATGGACTCGCCCTCGTCGTGCTGGTCACTGGGCTGCTGCTGGGCGCCCTGGCGCTGCTCCTCCTTGCGCCTACGGCGGCTCCTCGAGCGCGGCTGGCGCTGGGGCGGACCGTCCCCCGCGCCTGGCGCCGCCGCCTCCTCCACCTCGGTCTTCACCTCGAAGGACCGCGGCGGCGCCCCCCCGCTCTTGGGCTTCAGGACGGCCTCACGCTTCACGATGTCGGCCTTCGGGGGGGCGCCGCCCGTCTTGGGTTTCAAGACGGCCTCCTCCTCCTGTCCCCTGCGCCCGCGATCGCGAGGCGCATCGCGCTCGCGATCGCGGCGCCTCGCGCGCGAGGGCGAGCGCAAGGGCGCAGGGCGCCTCTCGCGCTTGCGGACCTCTTCGGCGAGGCGCTCTTGGCCTGGGGACCGCGCGGGCCGCGGGCGCTCCGCTGGAGCGCCTTTGCTCTGGCGCCGCGCTGCAGCCTGGATGGCCGCACGCGCCAGCGCCGCGGTGACCGCGTCCTCTCCCGCCTCGAGGACCGGGGCTGGGGTCGACCTCCCCTCGCCCCTGCTCGAGGCGTCGTCCACGTCGGTGAGCTCCACGACCGCCTCCGCGTCCACCGTGCGCATCATGTCGAGCAGCCCCCTGTTGTGCTTGCAGAGCTCGCGGAGCTCCGGCATGGGCTGCCCCTGGAACTGGGCCAGGGCGAGCGCCAGCTTGGCCGCCTGGCGCTGGACCTTGATATTCGGCCCCGCGCCCACCCCCCACGCGCCCCGCTTGCCGTCGACGATCACCAGCTGGCCGTGGTCCTCGCTCGCCCCCGAGGCCAAGCAAGCCGCCGCGATGCACGGGGCTGCTTCGTGGTCGTGGTTGACCACCTCGACGAGGTCCTCGCTGTCCAGCTCGTTCACCACCGTGTACAGGATGTTGTGGGCGGCACTCCGGAGCTCGTCCGACAGCGCGGCCCCCGAGACGACGACGCCGAGGGGGTTCACCGCCATGATGCTGTAGTCATGGCCACGCGCCTTGCTCTGGTCCGGGGCCACCAGGCCCACCAGGAATCCCATGATGTACGCTGCCGGAGCGCGGGGCGGAGGCGCGGCTGGCGCGCGAGGCTGGGGTGCGCGCGCTGCTCGCGTGCCTCGCTCTGGAGTGGAAGATG